AAAACCATTGTCTCATTTTCAATACACGATAAGGAAAATGAGATAAAGTCACTCTCATATGGGATTTTTTTTCTTTTTGATAAGTATGGTAATAATGGCTTTGTGGAATATTTTATTATTATTATTATAGCAATTGTGGAAATAAATTTATTTGAGAAGAAAAGGAAGCTTCTATTTCGTACAAATCGAAAATAATTATATTTTATTAATATTCCATTTCGGAAAACAATTTAAACTTTTCCAAATGCAAACGCAACTCTCTCTTTTCAAGCATGAATTATGCCCGATCATCGGCCACCTACACCCACCATGCATGCAAAGACAAACGTACTTTAAGATCCTAAATCCTCCTCTTTGATTTGAATAAGTAACTGAATACTATGATAAATTAATATTAAAATGATGAAAAATAAGAAAAGAAATAGTAGCAGTGGAGATCAAGACCCAGGTGGCCATTCCAAGTTTGACCGAGTATCCTCCTTCTGCCATCTGGCATTAAAAACCCACAATTTTTTTGGTTCTTATCCTTTTCTTTTTATGCGCATGAAACTCATGAGTTTATGAGTCAAACGCCATCTCTATAAATGAGCAATGCCCTCAGTGAAGAAGACATACACCACCCCAGTAGTTATAGCAGGAACAAACAAACATGGCACAATTAGCTTATGTCACCATCGCCATTGTTGCCTTCTTCCTCATCCTCCTTCCACAATCTTATTTTTCTGAATCTATTTCAAGCCATCACCCTGGCTCCTCCTCACCTACGCAATCAGATGTTGATCTTTTAGAATTTCCTCTGAATTTAGAGTATTTGGAAGCTGAGTTCTTTCTATATGGCTCTTTGGGCTATGGCTTGGATAAAGTTAATCCAGGCTTAACCCAGGGAGGTCCATCTCCCATTGGTGCTAAAAAAGCTCATTTGGACCACTTCACTAGGGATGTTATCACCCAATTTGCATGGCAAGAAGTTGGACATTTGAGGTTCAATCTTCTTTCTTTCTTTCTTTTGTTTTAATGGTTTTTTATATATTATTTTTCTCATACCAAACTTTGTAGTAATTATGTTATTTTATGCAGAGCTATTAAAAGTACAGTAAAGGGATTCCCAAGGCCATTGTTGAATTTGAGTGCAGAATCATTTGCCGAGGTGTTTGATTCTGCATTTGGTCATCCCTTGGTTCCCCCTTTTGACCCTTATGCCAATTCAATCAACTATCTCCTTGCATCCTATGTGATTCCTTATGTTGGTCTCACTGGGTATGTTGGAGCCGCCCCAAAGCTCCAAGGTCCTGTTTTCAAATCGGTAAGCTTCAAACACAATAACAAGAAACTGAAAATATAACCCGATTATTTGTTCACGTTCATCAAATGATCTGGCAGTGTTTAGTTTATTCGAATCGAATCAAATCTGGGTTCGCT